GAAAAAAAAAAAAAAAAAAAAACAAGGACTTGCAAAGCTTTAAAAGACTATACGTGGGAGGTAAAGCTTAGTCCTTCACACACACTTGGGGATGGGCTGATCCCTTCCAAAGAACAGATATGCAAATGGCAGATAGCAGAGAAACCAGCAAACATGTCCTGAACCAAGCGATCCAGGTGAGCATCTGTAGAGATGCCACCAGATGCCATGTGCCTTCATATGATGTCATGAAATGGGTATTTCACCTTTGTAGTGTTTTTATCCAAAACCCATAACGCCAGTGTAATCATGGGGAACACACTAGACAGAACCAGAGTTGGGGACATTGTACCAAATACCTGGCATTACTCCTCAAGACTTTTTTTTTTTTTTTCTAGTTGGAGTGTCACTCTGTCACCCAGCTTCAGGACAGTGGCGCAATCTTGGCTCACTGAAACCTCTCCCTCCCAAGTTCAAGCAATCCTCCCACCTCAGCCTCCCAAGCAGCTGGAATTATAGGCATGCGCCACCACGCCCAGCTAATTTTGCACTTTTAGTAGAGACGGGGTTTCACCATGTTGGTCAGGCTGGTCTCAAACTCCTGACCTCAAAGTGATCCAACCACCTCAGCCTCTTCCCAAAGTGCTGGGATTATAGGCATGAACCACTGCAACTAACCATTACTCCTCAATATTCTCAAGGTCATGGAAATCAAGGAAAGATCGAGAAACTGCCACAGGCCGGAGCAGGCTACAGAGACATGGCAGTTAAGTGCAAATGTGGGATCCCGGATTGGATCCTGGGTCAAAAAAATGAACATAAGTGGGAAAACTGATGAAATCCACCCAAAGTCTATTTAGTGAACGGTAACGTGCCAGTGTAGGTCTCAGCTTTGACAACTGTGCCAAGGCCATGTGAGATGCTCACAGTGGGGAAACTGGTGACGGGTATGTGGGGCTCTGTGTACCCCATCCAGAACATCTCTGAAAATCTAAAGCTATTCTAACGTGAATTTTTTTAAGTCCAGTTTCAAAAAAATAAAACAAAGACCAAAGACCACTTATGCCATCCCAGAGGGCAGAGGCCTTAGACTGTCAAGATAGCAGCCAAAGAATCAACTTGAACTTCCTGGCACCGGAGCCTTTAGCAGATGAAGAGTAAGACAGTACAGGGGAAGGGGGAGGGGAGGAGGCTGCCAGGAGGGCTCTCCGCTGCTGAGCACCTCCTGTGTGCCAGGCCCTCTGCCTCACCTTCCCAGCACCAAGTGGGATCCATCTTCTGCATTCTGCAGGCAAGTAGAGGAACCTGCAGGGGATCACTCTGCCAGGGAGTGGCAGAGTCAGACTGTGAGGCCAGCTCACCTGGCTCCCAAGCTGGGCTCTGTGTGCTGCCCTCCGCTGCCTCTCAGATAATAAGCAGAGCGGTGGTGGCGGCGAGACTGCTCCTGCCTGTCCTATGCAGTGCGACAGCCACCAGCGACACGGCTATTAAGCCCTTGACATGTGGCTGCTGAAACTAAGGAACCTAATTTTTAATTCTATTTGATTTTAAGCCATTTAATTTTAAATAGCTACACATGGCTAGTGGCCACTGGACTGGGTGGTGCAGGTCTAAGTCACCTGCCCTATTAGAGGAGCAAGTGTCAGCTCACATTTCGTGGCCAGAAGTCAGCAGTGTGGCCCAGGGCAAGGAAGGAAGCACATTCGGTCTGGAGGAAATACTTTCCACCAATGGCAGGACATAAAGGCCAAGAGAGGACAGGGCTACTCTGGACCAGGAAGCGAGGTGCTGGGCTGATGGGAGCCGCCCCAATGTCTAACAGCTGCTTGCCTGAGCCGCCACCTCCTCAATACAGAAACATCCTGAAGGCGCCCCATCAGTTGCTCAGAATTGCTCAGATGGAACCAAACTGTTCCAGCTAGAACAGACATGAGCTTAGAACAGGTTGGCTGCACAGTCTCCCAGCCACAGGCCCTCCTTGCTCTTATACGTGACTATGACAATCAGTGACAGTTACAAAGCATCTGCTATGCACAGCTTGCTCTGCTTTACATGTAATTGCACATTTAATTTCTATTTTTTTTTTTTTAAGACAGTCTCGCTCAGTCACCCAGGCTGGAGTGCAGCGGCATGATCTCGGCCCACTGCAACCTCCACCTCCCAGATTTGAGCAATTCTCCCAACTCAGCCTCCAGAGTAGCTGGGACTATAGGCACTCGCCACTATGCCCGGCTAATTTTTGTATTTCTAGTAGAGACAGGGTTTCACCACGTTGGCCAGGCTGGTCTCAAACTCCTGACCTCAGATGATCCGCCCACCTAGGCCTCCCAAAGTGCTGGGAGTGAGCCAATGAGCCCAGCCTGCACATTTAATTTCTCAGGAACACACAGGAGGCAGGTGTTATTACCCCCATTCTACAGGTGGGGAAACTGAGGCTCACAAAGTCTCAATTACCCAAAATCACTCAGCTAATTAGTGGGAGCTGGGATCTTACACTATGTCTACTTGCAAAGCTTGTACTGTTTCAAGCAGACCTCCTGGAAGTAGGGAATTTGCATTGCAGACTGAGGCATAAGGTTACCACAACTCTTGCCTGTTTAGCTACCATTTGACAAAAAGAAAGAGAGCAGTAGCCCTGGGCGCACACTTAGAGGCACAAGTTCAATTCTCCATCTGCTATGATATGAATGTCTGTGTCCCCCCGAAAAAAAAGTCCATATGTTAGGCCGGACACAGTGGCTCACGCCTGTAATCCCAGCACTTCGAGAGGCCAAGGTGGGCAGATCACGAGGTCAGGAGTTCAAGACCAGCCTGGCCAACATGGTGAAACCCTGTCTCTACTAAAAATACAAAAATTAGCCAGGTGTGATGGTGGGCACCTGTAATCCCAGCTACTCTAGAGGCTGAGGCAGGAGAATTACTTTAACCCAGGAGGCGAAGGTTGCAGTGAGCTGAGTTCACGCCACTGCACTCCAGCCTGGGTGACAGAGCAAGACTCCATCTCTGGGTGGGGGGAAAAAAAAGTCCATGTGTTAAAATCTTCACCCCCAAGGTGATAGAATTAGGAGGTGGGGCTTTTGGAGAGGGGATTAGGTCCTAAGAGCAGAGCCCCCATGAGTGGGATTAGGGCCCGAACAAGAGGCCCTAGAGAGCTCCTCTGCCCATTCCACCATGTAAGGACACAGTGAGAAGGCGCCATCTATAAGAAGAAACAAGCCCTTATCAGACTCTGGATCTGCTGGCACCCTGATCTTGGACCTCCCAGCCTTGAGAACTGTGAGAAATAAGTTTCTCTTATGCAGGGCATTGGCGGTTCACACCTGTAATCCCAGAACTTCGGAAGACCGAGTCAGGTGAATCACGTGAGGTCAGGAGTTCGAGACCAGCCTGGCCAATGTGGCAAACCCCGTCTCTACCAGAGATATAAAAATTAGCCGGGCGTGGTGGTGCACCCCTATAATCCCAGCTACTAGGGAGGCTGAGATGGGAGAATTGCTTGAACCTGGGAGGCGAAGGTTGTGGTAAACTAACATTGTGCCACTGCACTCTAGCCTGGAAGATAGAGCAAGACTCCAACTCAAAAAAAAAAAGAAAAACAACAACCAGTACCAGCCACTCCAAAAACATACCAAAAGGTAAAGAGCATCAACATAATGAAGAATGTGCATCAACTAACAGGCAAAACAGTCAGCTAGCATTAAACAGCAGTATCAGATTCACACATATCAATATTAACCTTAAATGTAAATGGACTAAATGCCCCAATCAAAAGACACAGACTGGCAAATTGGATAAAAAGCCAAAACCCATCAATGTGCTGTATCCAGGAAACCCATCTCACATGCAAGGACACACAAAGGCTCAAAATAAAGGGATGGAGGAAGATTTACCAAGCAAATGGAGAGCAAAAGAAAGCAGGAGTTGCACTTCTCATCTCTGATGAATTAGACTTTAAAGCAACAAAGATCAAAAGAGACAAAGAAGGACATTACATAATGGTAAAAGGATCAATGCAACAAGAAGAGCTAACGATCCTAAATATATACGCACCCAATACAGGAGCACCCAGATACATAAGGCAAGTTCTTAATGACTTACAAAGAGACTGACTCCCACACAACAATAGTGGGAGACTTTAACACCCCATTGTCAATATTAGACAGATCAACCAGACAGAAAATTAACAGGGATATCCAGGACTTGAACTCAGACCTGGAACAAGCAAACCTAATAGACATTTACAGAACTCTCCACCTCAAATCCACAGAAGATA